ATTATTTCGTGCTCGTACAATTGGCGCCATCTGTGGGAAAACACAGAGAACAAACCTTTTGATCAAGCTTCCTCTTTAATTGAGATCAATGATGCACAACGAAGACTTACCATATTCGGCTATTAATGGACAGACCCCGGAGGGAGATGGAAGGCGCGAAGGGTTACCCTTTATCCCATCTATGGCAGAATTAGACCCCCAGCGTCAAAACCCACAGAGAGACACACGAGAGAGACAAGGCTCAAGTCCTTGTCGCTTTCAAAGCCCAGACATGCAGAGGTGAAGGTTAGACCCTCAGGTTCCAGAGGATCGCGTAAGGAAGCAGGACGAATTAATACGGCGGACATGGAGACTATGAAGCGCCAGATAAAAGGTAAAATGATGATGACATAAGAGGGGCGCAAAGGCAACACGCGCTCGTACCACTCAGAAGATCGTGACAAACAAGTCACATCGTCACAAGCTGAAAGTAGAAGCCTTAAGACAGGCGATACACAATCAAGGACTTTTAGGACTCGTTACTCCAGGTCTGATAGAATGAGGACTGAAAGGTCTTACACAGAAAGAAGCAGTTATTGGCCCTCGCACACGTACCAAACGACATCCAGGCATATGGAGTTGCTTGGGTCGGCAGACCTGCGTACAATGCTAAAGGAGAGGGCCCTATGGAAGGAGGTCACCTAGGCTCGTGACCCTCGTAGAGTTTCAGCTCTACAACGATTGGCTCCTAGGACACATGGAAGTGTCGAGGTGGGGATGCCAATACCACGCCTTGATTACGAACCAGCAGATAAAGTGTTAGCAAGGTTGCAGAGCTCACCGTTCATTTTGGCAATTGAGAATGCACCGTTACCCTCAGACTTCCACCAGCCCAAATTCACTATTTATGAAGGGAAGTCGGACCCTTACATGCACTTGAGCCACTTCCGCCAGGTTATGGCGATGTATCGGCAAAACAAGGCTCTAATATGTATCATATTTCCTTCCAGCCTGGGTGACCTGGGTCTAACATGGCTTGAAAGGTTGCCAAAAGGTAGCATAGCTTCATGGGCGCAACTAGCGGAGGCATTTGTGACTAGATTCAGGACAAACACCAAGACATCTGTAGAGATTGACCAGCTTCTCTCCATAGATATGGGCGAGAAGGAAACATTGGTGTCTTACAATAACCAGTATTAGGAGACTTTTAATCAGATTGGAGATTACCCCACAAACCTAGCTATCGCACAGTACAAACGAGGTTTGCCGGCTGGCAATAAGTTGAGGGATTCAATGATAATGACGCCACCCCTTACTATGGAAGCCCTAATGGGGAGAGTGCACCAACACATCTGGGTAGAGGAAGATGGGGTGCGCACCAAGGAAAAGTCTGGCACAACAGCGATACCAGACAAAAAGTCTTTGGCGAGAGTTAACACAGTTGACAAGTAAGACCGAGTGCGTAAAAGTCTTTGCCTAACTGGGGGCAAAGTGGGTTGGCATGTTTGACCAACTCTTTCTAACAAATCTTTGCCCGACTGTGGGGCAATTAAGAAGGTTGGCAGGTTTGACCAACACTTTTTTCTTCCTCAAGCCGAGATATGGATCTAGACTCTAGAAGGTTGGCAGGTTTAACCGATACTTTTTTCTTCCTCTAACCGAGATAAGGATCTAGGTTTAGGAAGGTTGGCAGGTTTAACTAACACATTTTTTCTTCCTCAAGCCGAGATAAATATCTAGGCTTAGGAAGATTATTGGCCAAAAAATTGTTATGGATTCATTTGATGCTGTTTAATTCATGTGATGCCTAGTAGGCTAGTGGAATTTATGATATATTTTGATTTTGAGATGCGCAACTTTCACCACCTATGGCCTTTCTCTTCACAATATTGCCCACTGCAGTCTGTAAATTTGCTGCTTGAATATATGGAAAACATTGTTTTGTTCTGCTGGTATGTGCAGAGAGATCTGAGCAGTTGGACTGGGATACACGGCTAAATATCATCATGGGAGCTGCAAAAGGGCTGGCATACTTGCACCATGATTGTTCCCCACGAATTATATATCGTGACATAAAGTCAAGTAACATTTTGCTTGATGGGAATTTTGAGGCTTGAGTATCTGACTTTGGATTAGCCAAATTATTAGAAGATGAGGAATCTCACATTAGGACTATTGTAGCTGGAACATTTGGGTATCTGGCTCCAGGTAAGGCAATTTAAATTACAGCTGACACTCAAATGCTCAAAACTTTATTATTGAGATTGTTAGTGGGGAATACTACTCTTGATGTTGGTTTCACTGAGACTGATGTGGGGCAGTCTGATAGGTGGGTTTGAGGTTACCCTGCCTAATTACATAATAAAATTGGGAAAGCAAACTAGATGACATGAGGATAAAATAGGACTCAAATAAAACCAAAATTCAACCATACGAGGTCCTAACTGGATATCCTGACTTGATATCAATAAATTTTCAAATTTTGATGTTTCTTTAAATTCACTCTTTTTTTTTTAATGGTCTGCATCAAAGTTGTCAGGAAGATGCATTAGTTACGATTTTGAGAAAGAAAAGAATAATGTGGGTGCCTTCTGGGTTTAAGATACTGAACAATGTTACCCCGTATGATAAAATCTGTTGTTTCAGTTTTTGACTTTCAATTGAACTTGAGAAGCAGCAGGCATGTGGAGCACTGGCCCAAGTTTTTTCTATTTTGTAACGCTGTAGTATAGCTACTATGATTTTGGTATAAGCATTCAAAGTAGTCTATTCTGAATTGAGTGTATTACTTCACTGGCAGAATGAATGCAAAGCGGTAGAGCAACAGAAAAGACTGATGTTTATAGTTTTGAGGTTCTGGTTCTTGAAGTAGTGAGTGGAAAGCGACCCACTGATGCAGCATTTATTGAGAAGGGCTTCAACATTGTTGGCTGGGTACTTCTCTTCCCTACATGTGTTTACACTGCTTTCATTTAAATATGTATGACATGATTGTGGAGCTCACAAGGCGAATTAAGCTTCTTATTTTCCTTGATTAATGATTTCATATGAATCTTCAGAAGATCAGAGGTTCCAGCCTCCAGATCACCAATCTCTTGTTTTGAAGGAAAAAAAAAACAGTATTCCAGAGATGATGTTAATTTAATAGATAATAGTGAGTTCACTTGGTACAGTTTATAGCACCTTGACATGACTGACTTTAAATGTCAGCACAATCACCAAAGATCATCTTCAAAAGTATATATCGACACACACATCCAGAATGGTAGGTGGTGTCATAAAGTTATGAGCATCTTGTCTGTTCATAATTTATTGCTAGTTCTATTTAGTTGTTAACATGTTGGCTTCACCTTCATTCATCTATCAATTATTCAATGCCGTCAATTTACTTTCTTGAAGTCCTTTATTTCCTGTTCTTTATTCTTTTTTTTACACTTTCCGAAAATGTTTTACGTAGGAGAAACATTAATATAAGCATGCGAATGATTTGCCATTGCCTTAGATAATCTAAATGATTCCTAATTCATTAATTAGGACTCAGCTAGTTGTGTTTGTTCTAGCTAATATATTGCCATTCATAGTCATCGGCATAAGCCTTTTCTAGTAAGTTTCTCTAATAATTTTAAATCCCTGTAATGTATCTTCCAAAATTCGAAGCCAAGACATTTTTAAGGTACTTATTGCTTTTATGTTTCAATTGGATTTAACTTTTGTGGCTTTGTATATAAGGTAGTAATTTTTTGATTGAGAATTGTGAATTCAATTTTTGGATATATTATTTTGTGGAAAAATTAATGCTATATTAAATTGAATGGGAAAGTGAATTAATGCTATATTTGTTATTTGAATGGGAGTTATTATTTCATATTAGTGTTATTTAGTTTTATTATTGGTGTTCTTTTAGTTTAATCACATAAAATTAGCACAATTTCAAAACCAAAAAAAAAAAAAGAAAGATAAGATGGCGTTTTTAAAATGTCATTATAACGGTTGGAATTTTTAAAATTTAAAAAAAATCTATAAAGGCGTTTTAAAAACGTCGCTAAAATCATCGTGACGTCACAGTATTGTTAGGGCAGGACATTTGGCGGCGTTTTTAAAAACGCCGCCTATACTAATACAGCGACGTTTTCCAAACGCCATAAAGTTATAGCGACGGCCGCGTCGTCGACGTTTGGTACTAAACGTCACAAAAAGAATTAGCGACGTTTTTGGTACTTATAGCGGCGTTTTTTAAACGCCGCTAAAAGCCTAATTTCCAGCAGTGATTAGATTGTGGTATCCTTTCATTCTTTCATATTCTTTACATTCAATTAGGATTTTTTTTTTTTTGGCAGTTGACTGGTAAGATCCAGTAAATGATGAATGCAGATGAGTGTAATCAGGTAGAGAATGAAGTTAATGCCCCCTTTTCTTAGCATATATATATATATATATATATTAATCCCATGTATTTGTTTGTCATCTTGGTACTTTGATTAGAACACAATTTGTATTAGTCGTAGTTGTTTCATAAACAGTCATCAATCAAAGCTGTATGAATAAAAAGCAGGAACAAACTCCTCAACATCATCCTCACACAGGTATTATTTAATTGTAGTTATTTAAAATATTTATGCTTTACATATTCTTTAAAGGTAATTTTGGTGATAGATTAAATTATGTTTATGTGGCTATTATGTTTGAAAAGAGGTAATTAAAAAAATAAAAAATATATATCATTTTGAAGTTAATTTTAACTGTATGGACATCAAACACTCACTGCAATATGTGGATTAAGTTTTTAAAGTTAATTTTAACTGTATGGACATCAAACACTCACTGCAATATGTGGATTAAGTTTTTATTGTAATTGAATGGTTTAGAAGCATTATATATATATATATATATTTCTTTTTTGATTGATGGATACTTGTATTGAAGTATGTTATTTATGCTTAATACTAACTGTTTTACCGAAGGTTGACAAAAATACCCTTCGAAAAGCCAAAAAGCCAACATATATATATATATATATATATCTTTTTTGATTGATGGATACTTGCACTAAAGTATGTTTTTTATGGTTTTACAGGGTAGTTATGGTGCTAATTAGTTGAAACATAGTTGTTAACCTCCCAATATTTTGAAAGCCTCAAACCATTTTTCACTCCCATACATCTAATACCAATACAAAATTCAATTTGGTCATATAGTTCAACAATCCAAAATTGAGAATTAGAAATCCACAATCCGAAATTTCAACCAAACCCATTCACGAAATCAGAAAAAAAACCCTAACAAATTGTTTACGACATCAACAGAAAATGAAAGAAAAAAAACATATACAAACCCTACAGAAATCGTTAGACACGGGCATGGGAGAGATGGCGAGAAAGAGATACAAACACACAGACCCAGATCAACAGAGAGGGAGAGAGGCGCGAGACAAATACCTGTAATCAGTGGTGGGGCCGATTTGCAGTGGTCGTTGTGGCGACTGCCAGTGGTGGTGATGATCAGCGGTGGTGAGGATGGTAAGGTTAGGTATCGACTGCTCTGTATGTTGGTGTGTGAGTCAAAACAGAACAAAAATGTGTGTCTGTGTAATATATACTGCGCGCCAATATTAATGAGTTTCCCTCTAAAAAAATTTCGAAGCTTTAGCAACTAAATCATTATTTGTCGCCAAATATCCTTAATAGCGACTAAAAATTGGTTGCCAAAAGAATCCTATTTGGCTACTAATTTCAAATTTTTGTCAGCAATGGTTAATATACAACGACTAATTTAGCTTTGGTCGCCAAAAATTCATCAAAATACACCCATTTTTTGGCGACAAAATTTTTTTGTTGCAGAAATGTTATTATACGGCGACTAAATGAAATTTTGGTCGCTTAAAATGGTTGTAAACAACGACTAAAACTCAGTTTAGTCGCCAATAAGACTATATGGCGACTAAAATAATTTAGTAGCTAAAAAGATTAAACTAATGTCGACTAAATCAAGTTTTTAGTCACCCAATACGATGTTTTTGGCGACTAAAATTGTTTTGGTCGCCAATTTTAGTCGCCAAATGTGCAATTTGTTGTAGTGTAACCAATATCTTGAACAATTCTTCTCAGTGCCATCCTTGGTTTTTTGTTTTTTTCTAATTTTTGCTTTAATCACATTAGAGGCTATTTATCTTATTTGCCATCTTTGAGTTTTATTTATTTATTTATTTACTTTTTGTAAAAGTTTGCTTTCTATACTCATTATGGTTTGGGAATTGTTTGATGCGTGGATGTCAATTTTTTATTTTATTTTTTTTTCAAATTGACTTATAGTGTTGATAATATATAGTAGAGAAAGTAATTTGACTTTTAGCTACCAAATATAATTGTTGTTAAAATTGTCATTATTTTGTTTTTTGTGACCAAATTAGGACATTTTGTAACGAAGTATCAGCAACCAAATGTTTAGTTCTACAAATCAAACATTTTGTGACCATACAAATTTCGTCGCTAATTGCTATTTTTAGTGATACTTTTGAAAATTCGTCACTAAAAGTCAATTTTGACTTTTCTGAACGTACTTTTAGTAACGTTTTTGGTGCCAAATTTATTTTCGTCACAATAACATTTAGAAACCAAAATAATGGTTTTAGAAACCAAAATAATTGGTCGCGAATAGTCTTATATATTGTAGTGGGGTGATTTAGTGGCAATGAGATAAAAATAATAATTTATCATTATTATCAAACAATTTCATTAATCATATTCTTATCTCTATAAAATATCAATTATTGGACCAAATATCAAATCCCACTCATGAGGTAGATAATTTCTAAGTTCTAAATTTTGACCCAAATGACTTGCCAGATTGGATTATGATGGGAGCCCTGCTTGATTGTAGGCCTTGAGGCCATTATTTACTAATAAATTAAAATCATACTATGTGCACCAATTATTATTAATTAATGTATTAATGAATGATATGATATAATTTTAGAGGTTTTAGGTATTTGTGATTTGTATAATAGGTGAGATTATAGTGTTGAAATAGCAATATCATAACATATATTGATACATTAATTAGTATACCAATTAATACGTATACCACCACCGTATAAATTATCTTCCTATAAAATAGAAAAAATAAAAAAACAACAGTAATACTTCTCAGGTGGATACAAACACTAAATCGACGGTTTTGTCAATTGGACATTAATAGTTGATCGCATGGGTCCATACATTGTCGTTGAGCATTTACATATGTGGGCTTCGGTTTTACAATCAGCCTACACATCAATTTTTATTTTTATTTTTATAATAAATAAATAAATACATAAAACTGGTCCTTAAGTTACATGATGTTAATTAGTTGTTTAAGGGTTGATCCATTATGCCCACCAAAAAGTGGCAACTTTGAAGTTACCCTTAAAAAGAGAGGGGATGCCCTAAAAGCCTACTGAAATTAAGGATTGTTATTGCTTTCGCTTTTGTAGGTTTAAAGCAAATTAGATTGGAAAGCCAATTGATTTGTAGGTGAGAGAGTGAGTGAGTGTGTTGGCTCCTACCCAACAACTAACTAAAATTAGCGTGTTTGCTTCAGACAGAAAATATTAATTATTGTGCAGTGGAATTTAGGAAAGTGCTTTTCTTAATTTCCATACCATACACCCTGATATCAAAAAACATTTGAAAAAAAAATAAAAAATAAAAAATTCAGTTTGCAATCATACTTACCAACTATAAAAGTTTTCTACACTTTTTTTTCTTTAAATTTTGTACCCCACACTGAGTTGGGTTGGTGAGAGCAATTGCTGACTTGTTAGTTAACCGCATAGTGGTGTTAAAAGTACCATTTTTCGAAATATGCAAAGTTGTTCATGATTTCATTATAATTGAATTGTCTCAGTTAACAATAATTTTATTCACTCACTTTAAAAATAAAAAATAAAAAAAGATTCTTCAAACAGTCATTTGAAAATAATTCTTTTTATTCCTAAATGGTATTTCTAAAATAAAGGTGTTTTTGCTTTTGGTTAAAAAGTTAAGGATTAAAAATAAAGTAATTATTTTAATATTTGTCAAACATGCATATTATTTTTAAAAAATTATTAAAAAAGTAATTGCAAAACCAACTCTTAAATTAATGGTCAACAAAACTTCCAATAGAGTT